TCCTCTACAGAGCCCCAAAACAGCTCAAAGCCACCCACCTAAGTTTGGGTCAATCTTACTCAGATTCTGTGCCGCTAGACTGCGCAGCAAAAGAGGAACTAGCATGGTGGCTTCAACACATGGAAGCATGGAATGGCAAGGCGATCTTCAGAACCATCCCGGATCCCATCATAGAATCCGACGCGAGCAGACTCGGATGTGGTACTCGTTGTGGTCCCACCTCTAATGTTGGAAAATGGTCCTCAAAAGAAAAGGAACTCCACATCAACAGTCTGGAACTCCTAGCTGGGTCATTTGCCCTCTGGAGCCTCCTCGGACACACGACCAATTGTTCCATACTACTTCGTATGGACAATATTTCGGCCGTTCGCTATATCAACCATTTGGGTGGCATGAGATAGTCAATACTCACAGACCTAGCAAAAGAATTTTGGCACTTCTGTCTGACCCGCAACATATCAGTACAGGCAGAATACCTTCCGGGACTCTCCAACACCGTAGCAAATTGGAACTCCAGACATTTACAATACAACAGCGCCTGGCGACTAAATCAAACGATATTCCAGAAACTCCAACAACTCTGGGGCCCAATGCACATCGACCTCTTTGCCTCCCGGCTGAACGCTCAACTTCCCTCATTCTTCAGAGACTGGACCCAGACGTCATGGCAGTGGATGCCTTCCTACAATACTGGCTGAGCAACTGACTATATGCTTTCTCCCGTTCTCACTCATAGCACGAACTCTCCTACACCTGCAACGCTCCCGAATATCGTTGGTGTTAATAACACCGTTCTGGACAGCACAGCCTTGGTTCCCTTCAGTCATGCAAATGTCTATCGACCTCCACAGATTGATTCTCAGTTTTCTTACTACCCTGTATGATCAAGGCTTGGCCTATCGCACTATAAATGTGTATAGATCAGCAATTTCAGCTGCCCATGATGGATAGGAAGGTTTCCTGGCTGGGAAACACTTATTGGTCTGTTGTCTTCTACGAGGCATAAAATTTGCACGTCCACCTCAACCCCGCTACACGGCCTTATGGGATGTTAATATGATCCTTTATTTACTGAAAGACTGGCCTCCAAATACAGATCTCACACTCAAACAAGTGTCCGCAAAATTAGCTATGCTCCTGTGCTTAATCTCCTGCAAAAGGGTGTCAGACGTTCAAGCCCTGGATATTGATGCATGGTCCTTCACCCCGCAAGGTCTCCTGTTTACTATTACCAGACGTACGAAATCGAAAATCACGTCAGTCTTCTATCCCTCCTTTCCTCGCAATGCTAACCTCTGCCCGGTGGCATGCCTTCAGGAATACGAACGGCGGACACAGGCATTTCGGAACCCAACAACACACAACCTGTTCTTGGCGGTGAGAAAACCTCATCACCCAATATCCACAGTAACTCTGGCACACTGGGTAAAATGTATGTCAGCTGCTAACATCGACACATCAGTTTACGGAGCTCATTCCACGAGAGGCGCTATGGCCTCGAAGGCATTCTCCATTGGCTGTAAATTGGAAGACCTTCTCCGCACAGCTGATTGGTCCTGGGAATAGACGTTCAAAGAATACTACTTCCGGCCAACAACATCTCATCTATGGTTATATCGCAACTTTAAACTTGCCTAATATGAGCCTCCGTGTCCTTTAATAAAATTACCAGATTTCACTAATTACATGACATAAAGTCATGATTTTATAAAGGACACGGAGGCGAGTATTAGCCAGCCCAATGACAGGTAAGTCGTACATGTTATTTTTCCCACCCAATTACCGATAAACAGGTAGGAAGGAGCGAGTTAGATGTTCAAGTGATGTACTATATACTAATAATGATTTGGTTTAAAAATTTTTTGCTGGATCCAAATAAAACTATGAGTTAAGATATAACACTTCTTTAAAAACTTGTACAGTTTATATGTATGACAACGATATTTGAATATATTTTACCACATATCTCTGTCTCCTACAGCTTAACCCTAATTAATGGAATATTCGGGATGACCCTCTCCTTCCGATCTATACCGGAACAGACTCACTGGAACCCTCTGCATGACAGTTCAAGTTCATTGTTTTACCCGTTGATAAAAGAGGAAGTGGATTAGGTCACATGAGGAGATCCCATTGGTTAATATGTTTGGAATGTTATATGGTTAACCCTTAAAGGTATTTAGTGTTTTTTCTTGTTATTGCTATATTAAAATATCAATATCCTTTCTTTGCTGCTGAGGAATAAAGAAAGACATAAAGCATAATATGAGCCTCCGTGTCCTTTATAAAATCATGACTTTACGTCATGTAATTAGTAAAATCTGGTAATTGTTCTGTATAAATAGCTACTTAGTAACATTTGGGACAGTTTAAAGCAGTGGGAGGCTGTTAGATAAGAGATGATGCTGCAGCTACAATATACTCTGTTTTTCAGACAAGCCACCATGCTGTAATTTTAGTATCCTATATCTATTCACTAGCTAGCAATGGGTAGCAATTGAGGTGAGGGGAAGGGGTCTGGCTCTCTCTTCTATTTGGTTTTTGGGATTTGGGGATTGGAGACTTGGGAGTTTAGATTTTTCAGAAGGGGTGCCCACGAAGGCACTTCATTTGATATTGGGTGTTTATAGGTTTTTCCTATTAAGTGAATATTCCCATCCCTGTTCCCAGTTATTATTTAACTTCCGATTTTTCTAGCCAATACTCATCCCCTCTCCTTATCTTCAGTACTAATAGCTAAAGAAACACATAAATAGACACAAAAAAAACCCATAAAAATAAAGTGTGTCGTATCTTTAAAACATTGCAGAGTGATAATGGTGTATTTCACTCAAAGATAAAGTGCACACATATATACTAATAATTGTGAGTACAAAGTGAACCACAAGAAAAACTGTGTAAAAGTGCACTGTGAAATAAGAAACGATAAAGTGCATAAAAATTATATGAAAAAAATTGCCTTAAGTTTGTGTCAATGTAAAAACTCTTTATACATACTATTATCAGCAAGGAGAAATCTCATCAGGATTATTACATATAAAAGTAAATAGAAAAAAACATAGGGTAATACTGTAACAATGGTGTAAAAGAGGAGTAAGGGAGAATATTCAACTCACAATTGTAGAGCAGAGAAGCCTGCTCTAACTATATAGGCTCTTCAATATAACCAGACTGATGACTGTGGTGCAAGAAAACACTTTATTCAGCTTCACTTAAAAACATGCAGGCTGGGAGGTAAGTCCTCTGCTCGAGCTAATGGGTCTGTTGTCGGCTTCATGAGAACTCCGAAAACTGCATACTGTGCTCTTCCGGGAGGCGGGCTTCCGACCAGCTTACAAACGTAATGACGTGAAGGCGCAATGACGCGTTTCGCCGACGACTTGGCTTCCTCAGATCTGTGGGATGGCTACATTTTATTGTGTGGTGGTTGCTGAATGCGATCAGTGGGGATTGGCCAAGTTTTAAAGGGACACTATAGTCACCTGAACATATATATCGACAGATATTTTGTGCTAAGATAGAAATTAAAAGTGTATATTGCCGGAGTCACTCAGAACAGAGCGGACTCCATTTTGGATCTTCAGGCCAACAAAGACACATAATTTCTTCTTGCTTTCTTTAACTAGCCACTAGCCTGAGCTAAGGAATGCATTATATAAACAAGCCAAGTGATAAGCAATGAAGCAGGGGGGTGGAATGCTCTATTTAAATGTTAATGGAATAGAAATAATTTTAAACACAGACACTAGTGACAGAGAAGACTAAGTAATTAATTTTACTCTCTAAATTTTATAAGGTCCCATTGTAAGTAAGGGGTGAAACTGAGTTTAGAACTATGAATTTTAGAAATTACGATCAAAGTCGTTGCCACAAAGACTGAGGCAAATGCTTTGAACTGACAGCAAATTTAAGTTATGGTAGTTATTTTAGATAAGCCAAATGACGTCAAAATCGTCATCAGGAAAAGTTAACCCTTTTCTCTATTACTCACGCACCTCCATACAACCAATAATACTCGCATGTTCCTGGGACTTCCTACTCATCTGATGAGAATATCTACATAACTGGTAATTATGCTGGTTTTATTTAATTAATCTAAATTAATTAAAATCTAATAACATGATATATGACTGGATAAATCACGGTCAGATTTCAATATTTAGAAATCTTAGTTAACGAAAGAATATATAGTTATAAACATTCCATTCTGCAGGTGGAATTAAGAATAATTATATATTAATGTGATATAATCACGTGTTAGCATACCGCTGTTTTTATCCAGGTGTATTGATTTGCTCTAAAATGAGATAAGATATCTTTTTAAGCAAATTAAAATTCGGCTTTGGATGGTTCCAGGAAATGATTAATGAGCTGGTTCGAATGTTATTTTAATTGAAAATTACATGAGAATAGGATACTATATGCCTAGGAGGATCTAGCCAGCATTGAAAGGGTTACTCAGTTGCTTTAACTGTTAGCCAAGGTTTTATGGCTGGGCTGTGTGAAGTTTTGCTTTCTGTGTCTGAGACGTACCCATTAATCTTGTCTTGACAGTTGATACTGTAGCTTTGTACTGTGTCTAGCCATTATATTGCATACTTATGTTATACTAAATATTCACTGATTAATATCATGCATGCTGCCTAATATTATTGTTATTTAATTTGTCACAATAAATTATATCTATTTTTATAACAAATTGTGATTTTATTTGTATGGAATACATTTCACTTACATGATAACGATCTCTAAGATCTAAGAGAATTTAAATAGTGGGCAATTCTCAACTGTATAATATTATCATCCCATAAATATCCCCACAATCCTTTAATCTATTTTGCTGAGAATGTGTTTTTAACATAAAAAATAAATTGTTAATGCTGTAATTGGGTTTTCTCATCTGTTGCTTATTTTGCACTCTATAATTTCTCAATATATACAATTTTTCAATAGTACAATGAATTTATCAAACTGTTACTTTTCAGAACACTTTAATATCCCCCAGAGAGTCATACAAACACACATTTACATGTTCACATAAACAGTCATACAGTCATATAGTTATGCAGACACATACTCATTTATACAGACACATAGTCATACAGGCACACCTACACATATTCATACAGACACACATGCACACACTTATACAGGCAGTCATATTATACACAGACAGTCATACACACACTCATGCAGACACAATAATACACATGCTAACACAGACAGTCATAAAGACACATCTACACACTAATACAGACACACACACACATTCATACAGACACAGTGTAAGCGCGGCTGGTTCCTTTATTTACCACTATAACGTCTTAAAGCATAGAACATAGCAGGGCTAATCATACAGATATCTGAGCCATAATTTTATATAGTTAGTAAGAGATCATCTATTTAACATGTATAAAATAAGGATTGTCTTGGAAACAATAAAGTTTTGTCTTTTTCGATATTTATTTTATAAAAATATAAATATAGACATATAAAATCCATTACAATAATTTATAGCAGAGTTTATAAGATTACACTAAATGCTTGCAAATATCAATAGTAGATTAACATACCCTCCTGAAAATGTCATTATGTCAGCCTCTCTGTCATTTTAAGATGGAGCGTTTATCTCCAACTCTCTCCTCTGTCTGTCCCTTAACATTTAAAAGTACACCTATTTATACCTTAGGTGCAGGGGCGTTTTAGCCACGAAGCAAACAAGGCATTTGCCTTGGGCGGCATTTTCCAGGGGGCGGCAAAAAAAACCGCCCCCCAAATGCCTTTTTAGCCTGGTGGCTAACTAACATGCTGGGCGGGCGGCTGGCGAGGGAGCACTTCCTCTGAGCAGTCTGCTCAGCTCCCTCGAGCGCCGCAGAGTGAGGCTGGGAGCCGGGTTGATGACGTCATATTCCGGCTCCCAGCCTCACTCTGAGGCGTGCGAGGGAGCTGAGCAGAGTGCTCAGGTGAAGTGCTCCCTCGCCAGCTGCCGGCCAGCCCGCCTGCCCAGCAGCCACTGGACCCCCAGGGAGATAGAGAACCCTTTACCCCCAGCACTCCCAAAGGTAAGGAGGGGGTGTTAAAAAAAAAAAGTGTTAATGTGAGTGAGTGTGTGTGTATGTCTGTTAGTGTGTGTGAGTGTGTCTGTTAGTGTGTGTGTCTGTTAGTCTGTGTGTCTGTTAGTGTGTGTGTCTGTTAGTGAGTGTGTCTGTTAGCGAGTGTGTCTGTTAGTGAGTGTGTGTCTGACTGTTAGTGTGAGTCTGTTAGTGAGTGTGTGCTTGCCTGTGAATGTGTGTGTTTCAGTGAGTGTGTGTGTCTGTGAGTGAATGAATGTGTTTGTTTGTGTGTGTGTCTGACTGTGTGTGTATGTTTGCCTATGAGTGTGTCAGTGAGTGTGTCTGCTAGTGTGTGTCTGCTAGTGAGTGTGTGTCAGTGAGTGTGTGTTTCTGTTAGCTAGTGTATGCGTATCTGTCAGTGAATGTGTGTGTGTATTTAAAAGACGGGGCGGGGGGAAGGGATGGGTGGCGGTCGCACGCGGGTGGGGGAGGGGTGGGATTGGGGGGCGCCTGAGTTTTGTCCTGCCTACGGCAGCACAAAACCAGGATACACCACTGCCTAGGTGTCTTCATTTTAGGGTGACAGTAGTTCATATATGAAAAAGTAACTTCTTTTACTTTTATTCATTTTAGGACCTCCCTTAACTTGGCAAAAATACAAGGCCATATCTAAAGGCTGTACACGTCATGGAAATTTTACTGACTTAGGTCAAAATGGCATCTTAAAGTCTGAACATCTTTATCTACTTAGTGTTACCACAGTATATTATGTACTGAAAGAGTCGTAGCATAGCCTTGAAGCATGTATATGCATTATTGTAATTCGTCTGGGACAAAATGGCGTAAACATAATATGCACTGAAAGTAAGAAAGAGGTTATTGCTTAAAGAAACATGTATGAAAAACAATACGTTCCATTTCTAAAACCTTGTCAGTTTGCAATATCTCTTAAAGACAAAGTACACAGTTTGAGGAATACAATATTTGCATTTGCCAAAGTCATACAGACACACACACTCATACAGACAAGCAGTCATACAGACACTCATTAAGGCACACAGCGGCAGAAGTGCACTTCACCAAGGCCTGCACGCTGAGCACTTAGGGCCACCCAATGGGTATTTTTGGACAGGGGCCCAGACTGGCATTGCAGCCATCTAACAGTGTGACTGGGCCACTGTAATATCGGCAGTGCTGGGAGCAAGTAAGAAGCTGTCACTTCCTCACAGATACACACAAAGCCCATGCAAACACAGAGAGGAAAGAGAGAGTAGCTCCAGCCCCACACTACCAACAGCCTCAAACAGCAGCTTGGCCCACGAGAAGCCACCCTCCTGCACACAAAAGGGTATGGTAACAGGAGGGTGGCTAAGAATTAAGATATGCATGTGACTGTATCTATGTGCGTATCAGTGCGTATATCTATGTGTCAGTGTGTGTATGTGTATTTATGTGTGTATATGTCTGTGTGTGTATCTGAGTACGTATGTGTCAGTTTGTATCCGAGTGTGTGTGTATTTTTCAATGTGTATATCTGTATGAGCGTGTCAATGTGTATTTGTAAGTATGTATGTGGCAGTGGGTGCATACTCCCTTGCAATCATACTCAGATATGAAGTACATTCAAATCTCTGCAGTCAAATGCCAAGATTGTGTAAAAACATACCCCTTTATTCAAATACCAATATTACATACAAAAGTACACCTACATTTAAAAACCAACACTAAATACAAATACATCACTGCAATCAAACATTACATAGCAGTATACCACTGCATTCCAGGGGCAACGGTTCAAACAAATACAAATACACCCCTACATGCACACACACTCCATACAAAAACCTGCTTACAGTCGAAAAACAAGCTCACAAATGCAACTCTACAAAGATGGGCAAATGGTAGATCCCCAGCTGGCATAATATCGTGGGAGTTGAATGACAGATAACCATCTACCTATTGTCTTTGGTTGTAGCAGGTGTAAAGTATGCCAAATTACAAACTCTAAAAGACGCCATATCATACAATATGTAGTTAATGGTCACAGTTACAGTATGAAAGAGAGTATTACTTGTCACTCTAGTGGTGTTGTGTAAATGCTCATATGCCCGTGCGGCCTTAACTATATTGGGTGCACCACCAGACCCTTACGCACGAGAATAGCGGAGCATGGATATAACATCAAACGTAAATTTGAGCAGCATCAGGGTTATGCAAAAGAGTGGTACGAGTTTCATGTTTGTGTTAAGCATGCAACTGGGCAAAGTTGAGGTCTCCTAGGAAGAGCCGGGTATACCACAGATTTGGAGGAAGTCTCACTTCTCCCAGAGATGTCAAAGAGGAGGCCTTTCGGAGCAAATTAATTAGCAGCAGTGTCAAGAATTCTAAAGTCTGAAAAGTCTCTTGCAGGAGATTACACAAAATAGCATGGCCAGTTAAGAAACAGAAAGTTGCTTAAGAGATAATGAAGCATCTGGCCAAGTTTTGAAAAAATTGAGGACCAGAGAAATATTCCACAGAACTGAGAATTGTGCAAGGGAGAACAAGCAAATTGAGCTCTGCAGAAATGTCTAAAAGAGCTAAGAGCTGTCCGGCCACCAGGAAAACTAAACCCCAACTCCAAGTTTGGGCAGTTAGGGGGAGAGGCATGTTGGGGATAAAATCAGCCCGGGCCCTTTGTGGATGATGGATATTTGCCAACTCATACAGAGCCCTGGAAATTGGAAATGAATAGCAGAGACATGTTCAATAACCAATTCAATTTGTATTCATACGTCATTTATATTTATACCCCATTTTCATAGCAGGATGGGAGGGGGAAAAATGAGCATATGGGCGTGACAATGACATTGTTTTTCACAAGTTATAAACAGCTGTTTTTAGTTATAATTCAATGTTACATAATGTATGCATATTGGATAAAACCCAGATGATTACAAATACCGAAATCTTGGACAATTAACAAGGTCATTCCAGAATCCTTATCATGTCATGTCATGTCATGTCATGTAAATATCCTTTTCCAGGAACATAACAAAATCATGTTCCAATAAATAGATAAGTTTTATTTCCGAGAATTGGAGATACAATTCCAAATTTATTCTTGGGTCAAATTAACCCTTATATGAACAGCTAGGATATTGAGCATAATGGATATTCGCATCTACAATTCCCCTCTTAGATCATATCATGATCTACCTTACGGAATATCCATGGGAGGCCTGCGGCAGAGAAACCAAAGGAGGTATATTCACGTCTGCGGGACTTTCATTATTTCTTCACCTCGATTTCTCCCATTTGCTCTGTGCCGTAGGTTTTCCCTTTAAGAGGAGATCGAGCTGTCGATTTTCAGCTTTTGTAATCATCTGTTATACACATCTTTTAAGTGTACAAGTTAAAAATTTCAAACAGCTGACATCTTAACCAATTTTAAACATACTGCACATCATGTTATCTGTAACTTGAGCCTTGGATCAAAACAGGCAAAGTGTATTATTCCCAAAAACGGGAATAATATTATTATAATTCACAACGTAAACACATATAATCAAAAATGGGAATAAAATCTATTTCCCCTCTTTGGACCAGGGTCTTGGATTACCAGTCCACCCAGTGAACTTGGGCCAGGTCAAAAAACCTAGTGGCAAAAACTCATAATTGAGGAAAAAAGCACATCTGGGGAAACTCTAAGTGAGGGCCATGACTGTGTAGACATGTCATCCCCTCATGTTAACAGCATTAGTGACTTATAAAACCTGCACTATGTAAGTAAATAGCTCAGGTATCGGGATTGGGAAACACTTCTTGATTAGTTTGAAAAGGCCCACTTACATATTAAATCATAAGATCATTTCTAATCAGTTTGCAATTCTAGCAATAATCCCAATCATGACCTTGCGTCCTATGCCTCCTAATCAAATCCCTATTTCGATGGTCCAGTCATATCCACACTTAATACATTGGAATCCATCCTTGGTACATTCAACATACATCAATGACACACATAGTACATCCATGCCTGAGTAAGCTAACACTTCCTCTCTCTCCGGCTAACTCTACAAAAATAAAAATAACAAAATAGTTCAATAGTCCAGCATAGTCCAGAAAAATATTATAAGTTTTTCAAGGAGTATAAAGAATCTTAGACACCATAAACTTTGTTCCATAATCTTAGACACCATAACATAGCTAAGGGTAGCAATATGGCTGACAACAAGACAATGTCAGCTTCCACATAGTTCTTAAGTCTTCTGTTTGCTGGATGTTCACCACAATACTCTGTGCAACACCCCAATTGTTGAAAGGGTAATACAGAAATAGCGGCATTAGACAGCACTGCATCTTCAGGACTTTCCAAGTTAGTTTATGTCCTCATAAGTAAGCATCTCAGTTTCTTCGGCCAGCATGGATTTTGACCAAACAGATTTAATTGCAAAAAAGGTAGGTCAGCCAGAGAGATTGGTGTGTAGTCCCAAATATCAGGCGGCACAAATACTCCAGTACGGTCTCTATAATCATACAAACACAAGGATCAGTACGACATCAATAAATTAATTATCTAGGCTAAACTCAAATTAGAGACTAAAGTTAAACTCTTAACTAGTGTAACATGTACATCTCTCAGTTTTGCTTATAATTCATTGAATTTGTCCTTTATAAAATTTGAATACATAATTTCCCTTTAGAATGCCTTGTATGGATGAGAGAAGCACTCATTCTATATAAATGCTTGTTGAGTACTAAAACACTAACGTATACATTTTGGTATAATTCCCAATAAAATGCTGTTCTTGTGGAGAACAGGGTCAGTTTTGTGGACCCTGATAACATCTTTGGAAACCGAAACCTTTTATAGATCCCAATGTGTGTGATCATGTTTTAATACATGTTGGAACCTCCATACAGTTATCCCACTTAAACAATATATTTATTTTTTCAGAACAACTAGGAATGAAATAGGAGAAACAAAATAAATTACTATTGTTCTAAAGTGCTTTGTTTAATACAGGTTTCGGAAGAGTTGTCTTGCTGTGTTGCAAGTGGCCTCTGATAAGGAAGGGACAGCAAACTGTAGACATATGTTATATTAAGTTGCCCTCACTTGTCAGGTCTTGGAAACCCACTTATTTTATTGCAGATGCCTCTATTATACCACGTTACAAATTGACTAAGCATACTTATTATTATTTTAGTTATTTCACATTGCGCAGCCTATGCAAATAATGTCTAGGTCCCAACTTCAGCTTGTACATCCTCTAAGAGCCAGCATTAATACTGTTTTATCTATAAAAACTATATATAAAGTATTAAAAACATGAACCGGGGCGTGGCTAGGCGCCGGACGAGAATGGCCGCCTAATCTCCTCGCTCCGCTCCCGACCGCCCCATAAGCACATCTAAACAGCGCAATCTGGCACCCATGGGACGCACCAAGCGAGCCCAAATGACCCCCTCCACGCCAAGAACTCAGGGGAACAACCCGCACCCCTCGATCAGAAGCTACCTGAACACCCCAGGCGATCTTCTCACACAGGAGGAACTATCCAATATGGCGCCCTCCTCACCGAGCTCCACACTATCGGAAGAAGTCCCCAACACTGGAACGAACGGAACTGCCGCGCCAGCACCAGACTGGTATGCCCTTTATGCATCCCTACCTAAGAAGGAGGACTTCCACTCCCTCCTGGAAGAGGTTAAAACCACGCTGCACACAGAAATATCAGCTCTGGGCTCCTCCATTACAGCACTAGAGACCAGAGTGCAGGCCCTGGAATCCCGACGCCCCGACCTGCCCTGCCCGGCGCTCGCAGCCACGACAGCACAGGCTAAACAGATCCAGGACCTACGCTTACACATTGAAGACCTGGATAATCGCAGCCGCAGACACAATATACGGGTAAGAGGATGCAGGGAAACAGACCCCCCAGAAGACACGAGGGCCATTTTGACACCACTCTTTAACCGTATCCTGAACCGGCCAAGAGACGCCCGCATCCCCATAGACAGAGCACACAGGGCCCTGAGGCCTAAGCCCCCGCCAGGTGCCCCTCCTAGAGACATAATTTGCCACATCCCAGACTTCCAACTTAAGGAAGAAATTATGAGGAAAGCCCGGACGGAGAGGTCCTGGAGGCATGAGGGGCAGACGGTCGAACTATATAACGACCTCTCCCACCTCACCCTACAGGCCCGAAGAGCGCTGCGGCCCCTTACCACCGCCATGCAGGAGGCCCAAATACGCTACCGCTGGCAATTCCCATTTTCCCTAACAGCCCGGCGAGATGACACCGAAGCCACGATAAGATCACCACAAGACGTACAAGCCTTCCAAGAAGCCCTTGGCCTCCCACAAATGCCCATCGCAGACTGGACAAATTGCCCGATGAATGAGCGCTTCACAGGGTGACCAACCCGCCGCCACATCCAGCAGGGACCAAACGCTGAATTTACCTCTCTACAGCAAGCGAGCCCAGAGGAATAAACCTACCCCGTTTGCCTGAGAAATCGCTGAAGACTCTACGCTGACATTTTTTCTGGGATCACAGGGCACCCCCCCTCTTTTTTTTTTCCTCTCTTCTTCCCCTCCTCTCTCCTCACTCCATCAAGGAACGACGAAACATGACCGGAAGAAACAAAGCTATGGACAACTACACCAGCCGTCCAACAGGCCCAGGACACTCGTACAAAATAAATGTGGCCACCAGCAAACATCTACACCACACTCGCCACTCCTCGCACAAGGAACCTGTCAGCGGACTAAGCTCACCCCTACACGACCAGAGAACATGAGCCCCCGTCGAGAAGGACCCAACACTGCACAAGTACCCCCACGGGCAACTGATAAGTGGCCTAACACTGCCACACAATGGACTCCCTCCAGAAGAAGAGAGAACTCAAAAGCGCAAGTACTATGCCAGGGGTCACAACGCCCCAAGACTATACACCAACCACACGCTTTACATAAAATACTACTAACGGTGACGCAAAAACAACCCCACCACATGGGGCACTCTCCCACTTACATTAGCACGCCACACAGCCACACACCATACAAAGGCAACATACTGAAGCAGGGACACTCGTGATATGCTGAAGAACACCTGTAACACTAGTGTTCCTGCTCTGCTGTTCCCACACCACAGATAGACAGCATACACGGCATACAGGCATTTCCACTCATGAGTACAACCACCACGACACAGACACTAATACACAGGCACTGGAGGCGGCAGAGCCCGCAATGCTAAATACAGACTATTCCAAGTCAAAGCTACTCGAAGTCAAAGCTACTCATCTGTGTTCCTCTATGTAATCTGTGGGTATTGAAATGTAAACGCAAACGCGACGGACAGACACCACGTCACGTACCTGCACATCACATGCAGGAGACAAGACAGCGACACGGACGATAGGGACACTTGTATTGTACCGACCGATGACTGCAAGGCTAACTCAGGACTAGGCCTATAACAGTTAGGTGCCCTCCCAACTACCGGAACACAAAACGTACCTATCACATAACACATGGAATATCAGCTATCAGAGAAGACTGACCACGATTTGGGGAGTCACTTTGCAGACGGTAACATCTCTAGCTCCTGACATACGACAGCCGACTGCTCACACGAAAGACAGATAAGCAATCCCGAACTGATTATCCATGATGATCCCTACCGATTAAGTCTTACTGAACGACCACACCAGCTACCACCTTATGGTGACAATAGACGAGGCCTGACACACAATGACTCTCACATGACTATACGGAAAGCCGAATCTCCCCTTGGAAGAGACAGCTAGAATACGAACTAAGACGAGTCTGAGCTGACATACGGGCCCTCCCCGCCCCACCCTCCTCCCCCTGACTTGACCGAATACTGTAAGACCCCGAGTGACCCACAGAACGCAATCTCAGGACGACTAACACGGGATGACCCCCACCTCATCAGGGCATACTCAAACTGTACGAATTAGTTGAATTGAATTGAATTGCATTGAATTGTTTTTGAATGTTACAAATGTTCTCTTATACAATGTTGATCACTGCGTGTTCATAACCTGCAAGTTGCTCTCCCATAGGCCTTAACTCACCCTCATCATCCGTATCACACGGTAAGAACCATACAAGGACCACCACTAAAACCCGCTCGCATGCACCTTAGATTAAACACACGACCTACCCTCAGATGGATGCCACACCGTCCTACACCGTAACACTCTGGGGCGGCGGAGGCCGGATGAGAACTGGACTTGACACCAACCGGCGACACAGTCACAGACGGGTGACCTACCCCCTCACCGGCGCCACCAACCCCACGGGTACACTGCCTACGACCTGCTAGGTAGCTACGGGAAGACACTCCCCTAGACCTCTACCTACCAGCGGCACATTGCCCCTTACTACTATTACCCCGACGAGCTACAAAAACCTAAACTAGCTGCCCCACTACACACACCCGACTACCTTACACCCCTTCTCCCACCCCCTCCTTCCCTCGTAGACCCCTCCCTCCCCTCTCCCCTACACCCACCTACACCACCCCCTGACCCTCGCCCGCCCGGGTCCACTGGCCGGCCCGGCCCGGGGGCGACACCCACAGCATGGGCCCGCCCCACGCCCCCTACGCGGGCAGACCCAACTGGGACCACCTCAAACTCTACACGCTTAACGCGAGAGGCCTCAACTCTCCTCATAAACGGGCCAGAGCGTTACGGGAACTCAGAGCACTGGGAGTGTCGATAGCCTTCTTCCAGGAAACCCATTTTCACGCACCCCAGGCCCCGAAGTTCTCCAACAAACACTACCCCAACGGCCACTTCGCGCACAACCCCTTGACCAAATCTAAGGGAGTAGCCATACTATTCTCAGCAAACACCCAGTTCCACCTGGAAGCAGAAGTAAGAGACACGGAGGGCAGATATCTCTTTATTAAGGGGAAAATAGGCAACTCCACACTCACGTTTGCAAACCTGTACCTCCCAAACAAAGGCCAGAAACCGTTTCTGGCCTTGGCCCTCAGAACCCTAGAAGAATTTGGTGAAGGCACAATCATAATTGGAGTAGACTTCAATGCCCCCCTAGACCCCAAAATGGACACGTCCAAAGGCGCATCTACGATACCAGGACACATCCTCAGAGGAATGAGGACTCTCCTCTCAAATCACCAATTTACAGACACCTGGCGCATCCTACACCACACAGACAGAGATTTCACCTACTACTCAGCACCACATAGATCCTACTCAAGGATAGATTATTTTTTCACCCAACACAGAGACCTAGACACGCTGCTAGCAGCCCAAATAGCGCCTATGACCTGGTCAGACCACGCACCAGTAATCATCACCATAGAACACCCCAAGCCCTTAAAACCGCAATGGACGTGGAAATTAAATGAATCGCTCCTGGAAGACCCACTAATCCAAACAGACGTACGCTCCGCTCTAGAACACTTCTTCCTCACCAACAAGACACCTGACTCCACGCCGCCTACAATATGGGAGGCGCATAAATGCGTCATTAGAGGGATCCTTATCAAACATGGCACCCGCCTGAAAAAACAACGTACACAAGAAATTGCACACCTTGTCACCCAGGTGGCCCAACTGGAAGCAAAACACAAACACACCCTCCATGACGCCACGTATAAACAACTTCTGGAGACTAGAGCGAAACTCAACTCTCGGTTACAATCAAAGATCCAATTCCAGTTCCAACTCGCCAAAAAAACATTTTACGAATTCGGAAATAAAAGTGGCAAACTATTAGCCAGAGCACTGAGAGCGCGCAGGCAAAAATGCCACGTCCAAAAGATCACAGCAGCAGGGACACACATGCTCACACCCAAAGCCATAGCAGACGGCTTCCGACAATACTACTCCTCCCTATATTGCTTACCTCTACACACTTCGCGAACAAACTCCACAGAAGCAACCTTCATAGCTCATCAGAAAGAATATATAGCGCAGAACCTGACTTCCAAGCTCCCGCCCCGGGCCGTAACCGCACTGGAGGAAGACATCACTGCCGAAGAAATACATCTAGCAATCAAACTGGCCAAACAGGGGAAAAGCCCAGGACCAGACGGGTACACGGCAAAATACTACAAGACGTTCGCCGACGCTCTCACCCCACACCTGCTTACCCTGTTTAACGCCATCCATATGGGGAACCCACTGGATCCCAACACGCTCCTGGCCCATATCGTGGTGATACCGAAGGAAGGAAAAGACCCGTCCTCATGCACCAGCTACCGACCAATATCCCTGCTGAACACTGACCTCAAGCTGCTCGCCAAGATACTGGCACTCCGCCTCCAACCCTTACTACCGGACCTCATCCACCCTGACCAAGTGGGATTTGTGGAGGGAAGAGAGGCCAGGGACAACACCGTCAAGGCACTCAACCTAATACACGCAGCTGGACGAGGACACAAGCGCGCCCTATTGGTCTCGACAGACGCCGAAAAGGCGTTTGACAGGGTGGACTGGTCCTTCTTATTCTCCACCCTAGAGCACCTTGGGATGGGACCGCACATGCTGGCCCGGATATCAGCCCTATACACCAACCCAGCTGCCCGAGTACAAGTAAACGGAATTCTCTCGGATCCTTTTGAAATAAGAAACGGCACGAGGCAGGGCTGCCCACTATCGCCCCTGCTATTTGTCCTCAGCTTGGAGCCGTTCCTAAATGCCATCAGAACCCAACCCAACATCGCAGGGATCGGAGGCGGGTGGGGAGTCAGCAAGGTTGCGGCATACGCGGACGACCTCCTGTTTACCATCACCGACCCAGCATCCTCCCTCAGAGAATTAATGCATCAATTTGACACTTATGGCATACTGTCAAACCTAAAAATCAACTTCACCAAATCAGAAATCCTCAATGTGGGCTGCCCCCAACCACTGGTAAATACACTACAAAATGACTTCCCTTTCCACTGGTGCACAGAAGCAAATACTTAGGTATCTGGCTGTCGGCAGACCTCACAGCCAGTTTCCGAATCAACTTCCCACCCCTTCTTGACCAGATTAAAAAAGACCTGAACGCATGGCAGCTGCCACACATCACATGGCTGGGGAGGATCAGCGTACTCAAGATGAACATACTCCCACGACTCCTGTACCTCTTGCAAACCCTACCGATACACATTCCCACCACCTTCTTCACCCAAGCCCGACAGATAATGACAGAGTACGTGTGGCATCGCCAGAGGGCGAGATTGAACTTCGCCACTCTCACGAGACCCAAACACCACGGGGGACTGGGCCTACCCGATCTGACCAAATATCGGCGAGCCGTCCATCTCCAGCGTCTGATTGAATGGACACACAACCCGGAAAACAAACTTTGGATCCCGATTGAGGCAAGCTTCTCACAGACCCCCCTATCTCTTCTCCCTTGGCTACCAAAAGCTATGACCAACGAACTACCACGACAACACCCAACCATAAACGCTACTCTGGCAGTCTGGAGAGGCTTAGCGCCACACAGGGACATGGCCCCGGAGCTATCTCCCCTCTGCCCTATCTCCCATAACCCCAAATTCCCCCCGGCGATGGAACCTCGCTACGTCACAACCCTAGGGCTGCCATATCCATGCAGACTAAAGGACATATACAAACAAGGCACGATTACCCCTCTGAGAGACCTGGTCCCAGATACCACGCACAACTGGCCACTCCGCTTCAGATACCACCAGCTTACGAAATTCCTGACGCACATGCCCGAACTGAAATCGGCAACACGAACACTCTCCACCTTCGAAACCCTTTGCACAAGCCCCTCGATCCCACCACACACAATCTCACTCCTATACACACTACTAATCACACCTCCCACCGATGCTCCCCTCCCTTACTTCACCAGATACTGGGAAAAAGATCTAGGACACCCACTCACCAGGGAACAATGGACCACAGTGTTTACGCTCATACACAAAGCCTCTATAGCCACCAAATACCAGGAAGCAGGATATAAAATGATCTCGCACTGGTACCGAACACCAGAGAAATTATCGGCAATGATGTCCACCTGTGAACCAGAATGTTGGAGATGCAGGAAAGAACTGGGAACCCTCTTCCATATATGGTGGACCTGCCCACTCATCAAACCATTCTGGACGGAAATCCACAAAGTCCTAGAGACCGTAACGGACGCGAAGCTACAACTTACACCCGAAACCTATCTGCTCCACCTGACCCCGCTCCCCTTCAACAAATACAAAAAATCTGTAATCCCGCATCTCCTGAATGCGGCTCGCAGCCTCATTCCGAGACACTGGAAACAACCTACGGCCCCGACAATCAATGAATGGATGATCAGAGTAGAAGACATCAGACGTATAGAGGAGCTCATCCTCTCGGCGACGGGACGCATACAACGCTACCACGACACCTGGTATCACTGGTCACAATGGCTCACCTCTGCCACAGCGATGGGAGACGGGGACTTACAGCCCTCAGATACAGAAGTGGAATTGTCCCCCCGGGCCGAGGCCGGAGGAGCTGGACCGAGACCTGGGCCGTCCCCCGCCTAACCCACCACTAACTCCCTATACCTCATCCCGCTTAACCTGAAACCACCCACACCCCCCGGTCCCCATTCTTCATTACCCCCCCCTCGCCCCCTCCTGAGCGACTCCGCCCACCTACAACCCTTCAGAGACAAACCAACACAGAGATGAATAATCATGACACAAGACAAACAACGCTCACCCCTCACTCCCCCCCCCAAACACAGATCGAACGACACGCACCGTACCCATGACACACAACAGAGACATACACAAGACAGCACGCCAGAGACAACACTCACGCTACACACAACACGACAACTACCGGGCCACAAACCCCCAGCTTTCTCCCCCAGCTACCAGACGGCTCTGAGCGTAGCAACACTTAGACACACAAACCAATGCTGCCAGTAAACCCCACCCCACCCCCTGTTCATAAAACTAACGGACCGGCTCCGAGCTCCATACCCAAAGCCCCAACAAAAGACCCACCCCACTGGACCCCACCAACGCAACCCAGGGCATATCCCCACTAAATAAGACCTCCACATGTACACCCATCCAACCAATGAAACCCCACATACTAAAACAATATGAGCAGTACAACCTGTTAGGTATACCAAACCCACCCCCAAGATAAACACTGAATCACATCCCCCACTAAAACTCATAAATCTGTAACTTACCGCAAAACTACCCACACCATACCACAAATGTTGAATGATTCAAAACACGCAACTGTTTCTAAAAGCTCTGTTCATTATATGCGCATGGCCCGATCTTCAGTAGCCATGACGATGGGATCAACTCAGTGAGTTACCAAACCCCACGGCACTGGAATACCCACATACATATTTTATATTTTATGCTTTTTATGCCTAAACCATTACCTGCTCTGTAAACTAACTGTTACCATGCTATATTAAGATGCCCATGTACCTTCTACCTGCTGTATCCTTCTTCAAACTGGATTGTAACGCGAATTTAAATCAAAATAAAAACTTTTTGAATAAAAAAACATGAACCATCTGTGTATTAGGCTGAGGTTGTTGGGTGTGGGTATAGCTTGAAAGTTGTGGTTGGTATTGAGGAACCTGCCAGCTGGGCCAGGTTCTCCCCTAGCACCGGGTTCTCCTTTGTCTCCTTGAGCACCAGGTTCACCATTGTTACCCTTAGGTCCAGGGGAACCCTTGGGGCCCTGAGGTCCAGGAGCACCACAGGCACCAGGGAAGCCAGGGACACCAGCAATACCAGTGGGGCCAGCTTGACCAGGAGAACTGGGTTCACCACGAGCACCTTGGGGTGAATCCCTGCTATCCACAATTAAAACAGTGCTGAAGTTACCACCTCTACAAAAGTTAGATCCTTTGATCAAATTCTCTACCTCTGCCTCTAAAACTTTTCTGATTCAATCTCCTATCACCTCCCAAATGTCCTTGTCTCGCCTGCTTAAAATCACAATCCTTTTGTGACCGATACAACATACTTTTCCCTCTTTCTTTATATCAAAACAACCTGCTGTATCTTTCTCATGAATCTTCCCAAGAAATTCAGTTGGGGTCAAAGAGGGCCAGTCACAGACCAATATTTTAACCAAAAGTGAACAAGGAGGAAGCATATTCCATATGAAGGTCGAGATGACCTAACTCACACCCCCTCTTTGTGTACACCTCTTTGTGTACCACACAGATATAATATTAATAAGCTTTTGAAGATTTATTGTGCATGTATAGCATGGTTGTCTAGGGGTGTATACATAAACAGTGAAAGCAGAGTCTTCATATAGGGTTTGCATTACTGACAGTCTGGGTCATAGGTGTAATGCAGAGGTGCAGTTAGGTACTTTTCCATTGTCAGAATACATTGAAAGCACTAATATATTGCAAATATTAAAATCATATTGCAGCTGTTTCCTATACCTGCAAGGATATGGTTGTAATACTTCAATTGAGTTCAAATTGAGTATCAAAAATTCTAACTACAAAAACTAAATTTTATATGCTTATCAAAAATGAGTTTAACCCCTTAGCAATTTAATAGGGTGACCTCTTCCCATAGAATGGTTCCTTTTATAATTATTATATTATTTATTCTCTTCTGGGTCAGCAAAATGCTTTCAATATACCAATACAAATATAATACAGTAGTTTAGAATTGCCTCAAAAGAAATTATCTGATCATTTTGCTATAATCAATGAGGCATATTAGATGAATCTTAATCTTGGAAAAAACCTATCCTATACATCCATAATTTTTTCTTGTTATATAACCATATAACATAACAATTGTTTATGTTAAAGATAACAAATTTTTATTTTCTGAAATAATGCAATGCACTTTAAAAGTAGCATTAACTCTAAATACTCCCCTAATAATACTGAAACATGGATCCACGATTTTGAAAAGCAAATGATATATTTTTCCTTTTTCTTTCCCAGGGGCCCCTTTCTTGTCGGCTGATCAGCGTTTTTTTAAATCTGTTGTAAAAAGACACTAAAGGCTTGCGTTAATGACATGCAAATATTCTTTAAATATTCTTCATACTCATTGTAATATCACACATGTCTTATAACACAGAAAACATGTAGCAGATATCCAGCAGACATGCCAATACAAAAAGCATATTCTTGGACAGGTAATTAACTCAATCCAAAATAAATTAATAAATGTCACACTCTGTGACAGACATAATATAGGTTCTCATGTTTGTGCATTATGCATGTCTGCAAACTATGCAAGCAGTACTATTTTAAGGTTAGATCAGAGCACCTGGCAACTGGACAGGAAAGTCGAATTTTGGCAGGAAGTCCATTATTGCAACAGAATTTTGGAAATCAGCTAAAATTTACAAAAACAGACTCCCTCTTTTTTTCTTTCTTAAGACTACAACTCATATTGCTCTTGGACTAGTATTCAATAATAAATCAGTTATTTCATAGATTATTATGCTGCCATTTTCATCTGTATCAATACTAAGACAAACTTATTCAAATATAATTTAAAATAACACAGCAAAATACCCATTAACATACATGACAATTAAACTGCGCACTTCAAAATGAGTAACCAAAACAAACATTTATGACAATCATCATTCACACAGAATAAACTTCTAACAGCTGTATTCAGAACATATTATTGTAAGGTATACCAATTCTAGTTTGTATCAGATTTATTTAAGAGTTCTGGTACCAAAGGGTTTATTTTTTATTTTTTACAGAAGGGATCCCGTATGGCCATATAACGCCGTTTGACTTAAACATTTGTATAACACTTGCATTAACCAGTTGCAACATATGTATCCTGTCAATAAAATTTCTCTCTTATACGCTTATAGAACATTTGGACCAGATTACACAGACATGGTATCATCTGCATTTGTCAGAACTCTCAAAGACTCAAAATATTTATACTACTCCATGCACTGGCGGATCCAGGGGCGGGGCAACGGGGCAATTGCCCCCCCCGAGAAATCCGCCGGTCTCCCTCCCCTGTCAGCACATGCAGGTGCTAGCCCTGCAATGTGCCTGCGGACCGGAGGGGAGATCAGAGATCTCCCTCCCCGGTCCGCAGGCACTGTGCTGGCAGCCGGCAGGGGAGGGAGAGGGAGGACCCGGAACTCAGTCTGCAGCTCCTCCGGGTCCTCCTCTCGCGAGATTTGGAGCGTTGCCGCGGTTACCATGGCAACGCTCCAAATCTCGCGAGAGTGAACTCTAGCCCGGGAGCGTGGGCTAGCGTTCACTCTCACCACTGGGACCACCAGGGAATCACCACTGGGACCACCAGGGATGAAAATATGTCCCCCCTCCTCCTCAATAAAGGTAAGAAGGGAGGGGGGACATAGAATATTTGTTTTTTTTAATTAAATAAAGATATAAATTATAAAAAAAGCCCCCCCACCCTTAACACACACACACACATAGCCCCCATACTGCCCCCCCATACACATACTGCCCCCCCATACACACATACTGCCCCACATGCTGCCCCCCCATACACACA